GAATGAATGAATGAATGAATGAATGAATGAATGAATGAATGAATAAATAAATAAATAAATAAATAAATAAAAATAGGTGAAAAACTTTAGTTTTCCTTTTTTATGATGATGAATAAATGGGATTTTTCTATATCCATTATATAGTTAGCAACATTTGTGTATAATCACACATTTTTCTGCTTAATTTGCTACTTTTCTATATATCACATAAAGAGTTGTTTTTTAAAAAAAATCAAATAATAGAATTGTAAAATATCAGCGTTTGAAGGGACTTTGGTGATCACGTGGTCCAACCTGCTGTCCAGTACAGAAATCCATCACTACAGCATCCAGTTAGATGTTTATCTAGCCCTAGCTTAAATATCTTCACTTCCTCAGGAGTCCACAACCTCCTCAAGCAGTCTGTTCTATTGCTGAACAGATCTTACTGTTCAGAAACTTTTCCTGAGGCCCAAATGAATTCTACTTCTTTATAATTTAAATGCATTGTTTTTTATTCCATGTTCTGAATAATTTTGTTTTCCATGTGTCAGATCCTAAGAAATTTGAAGATGTCTCCCCAAATCCTTCTTTTCTACAGAATGAACATGCTCAGCGTCTCCACCATTTCTTCCTTGTTTTCTTCTAGGTTTTTAATCATCTCGGTTGTTCTCTTCCAATCCTTCCTCGTATCCAGAACTAGGTAAATATTCCAAGTGTGTTCTGACCAATGCAAAGAATAATAATAATTCTTCTAATCTTCATACTATATCTCTGTTAATACAAAGTAGAATTGCAGTTGATTTTTTGGAATTGTATTATATTGGCTTTGTGTATTCATTTCACATACTCATGCTTTTGATTTTTCTTACCTAAGTGTAGCATTATCTGCATTTGTTCCTGTAGACCTTCATCTTCTCGCTTTGGGTACATGTTCTGGCCTGCCATGATCCCGATGAGTCTTGACAGTCTTCTATAAGATGTTTATTATCTCCCTTATTTTTGAATCATCTGCAAAATAAATATTCATATTTTGTAACCTTTCATTTAAACATTTATATCTTGAACAACCCAGGACCTTAGAATGGTTCCAATTCAACAAAGAACAATTGTTCAACCAGCTCTGCATTCATTATGACAGCATAACCCAACCTGTATTTTCTCTTGTAGAATTTCATGAGAGACTGTCAACAGTTTTTTTGATGCCAAGAACTGCTGCATTTCAATGTTCAATGGTGAATGAAATGAGCTACTGTCAAAAAAAGGAAATTAGGTTGATATCTTGTTGGTGTCACTTGTCACTTGTTCTTAACAAATCCATATGCTGGATTGTGCCAAGCAATAATTATTTCCAGAATTTTGCAAAGATTTTATATCATACTGATTTGATATCAAGTCTCCAGTTGTCCAGGTCTTTTTCTTTCTTTCACAAGAACAACATGTGCCCTTTCCTAAACCTCTGGCATTATGCCAATCTTCCATGATGTCTCAAAGTCACAGAAAGAGCTCTGAAATAACATTACAAGCTCCTTTAAGACTGTTGGATGTAATTAGCCTAGCCCTGGAAACTTTATTCATCATGGGCATTTCCAACTGAATCCATGGGTTGCCAATTTCTTTTTGCCAATTACTTCGTAAAGTGGTCTTAATGTCTGATTTTAACTTTTTATGTTTTAGCTGTATATGTAACTGTAAGTCGCCCAAAGTTATCCTATAGTAAGATGGGTGGCCAGTATATTTTATAAATAAATAAATAAAATTGACAATTTTATTTAAGCTAAAGGAAAAGAAGGAAGGATGCAAAAATAAAGACAACTGAAAAAGAATCAGAATTGATGGCTGATACACACATAGACATGTTTTGAGACACACTATTGCTCATACAAACTTATAGATGTACACAGATCTTTTATAAATTCTGTGTGCATCTGATTTCAAATCTATCCACTGGAATGTCATGTATGTCTTCAAGAGGGAATGTTTTCAAAGCTACCTTCTATGAGAAGAAGTCTGAAGAAGGCTATAAAATAATAAACAGCATTTTTAAGTAACTCAATTAATTTTCCTTAAGCTCTCCAATCTGTAAATGGTTGGTAAACAAACTGGACAAATGCCAGAATAAATATTTACCTGGAGGATCAGAGGCAGCAATAGAACAAACACTAGCTGGTCATCTATGGCCTATGCATACCCTCTGCTAAAGAGGATTTTGAGTGACTTTGAGCAAATATAATTAAGGTAGCCTTAAGAGAGCTACACCAACATCCAAATGTTTGATAGGAATTTGACTGTGACTAAGACCTACCTAGGTGATCTTAATCAGGCATTAAGTCACTGCTGACTTACTAGAGTTAATTTTTTAGGAGTTTCAATGAAACAAACTACAGCAAAATCTACTTCTGACTAGTGTCTTTTGTTTGATTAGTAGAAAATATTTAATTCTAAGACTACAGTTAACATCCACATTCCTGTTTTTCATTCTTTTGTGGTGCTGTTTGCCTATGTGATCCTTCATTCCAAACCAAGGCCTCAGAAGATAAGTCTTAGGTCCTGACCGATGGCCTCCTTGGCAGAAATATTTATTTACCACTGGTATAAATATGTGGAAACAATCAGCAAGTGCCCTTCCTTCCTTGTTTTTTCCTCCCACTCTGGAACATTAAGACAGCTTGAACAGCACTGGACCACATGTGGTATATACATTGAAAGAAGATTGCAGAAGAAGAAGTTGCAAGAGAAAGGAAGAGGAGAAGGTGGTATGGTGATGGCATGTTGGTGGTAGTGGTAGCAGCACTAGGACAAAAAGCAGTGAGCAACTGGCAGTAAAAATGGAATGGATTCCAATAAACCAGAAACATAAAGCTAAGAGAATCAGAGTCTGATAGCCACTTCACTGACAGCCCACACAAAGCCAGCGATGCACCTTTCCCCTCATTTACATGCTTTGGCACAGAATGAAAACCTCTGCAGCTGTTTGAAACAGCAACCACTCTTGTAGTTATTAGTTGTGAAGATATGTCTGACCCATCGTAACCCCATGGACAACATTTCTCCAGGCCTTCCTGCCCTCTACCATCCTCTGGAATCCATTTAAACTCACACCTACTGCTTCTGTGACTCCATCCAGCCACCTCATTCACTGTTGTCCCTTTTTTCTTTTTCTCTCAATCTTTCCTAGCATTTAGGCTCTTCTCCAGTGAGTCCTTCTTTCTCATTAGGTAGCCAAAATATGTGAGTTTCATCTTTAGGATTTGGCCTTCTAAAGAGTAGTCAAGGTTGATCTCCTCTAGGACTGACCAGTTTGATTGCCTTGCATTCCAAGCGACTTGCAGGAGTCTTCTCCAGCACCATAGTTCAAAGGCCTCGATTCTTTGGAGCTCAGTCTTCCTTATGGTCCAACAACTCTTACTGAGCTGAAAATACCCAACCAGCAGTATTTTAATATTGCATGAAGATTATTCCCATTCATCAACATGTCTTTTGAAATATATAGGGTCTCTACAACCTTCCAAAGGTTAACGCAGCTGATCATGATGAGATGGGAAAATGTTATGGGTTACATAGTCTTTTATTGAATTGGAAGGCACATTTAACCATCTAGCAAAACTTGTAATAGCAATAGCAATAGCAGTTAGACATATATACCGCTTCATAGGGCTTTCAGCCCTCTCTAAGCGGTTTACAGAGTCAGCAAATTGCCCCCAACAACAATCCGGGTCCTCATTTCACCCACCTCGAAAAGATGGAAGGCTGAGTCAACCCTTAGCCGGTGAGATTTGAACAGCCGAACTGCAAAACTGCAGTCAGCTGAAGTAGCCTGCAGTGCTGCATTTAACCACTGTGCCACCTCGGCTTATGAACTTTCTTTCTCCTACAAGACAAAATAAGAATGCTAGGAGACCCCAAAGCACTACATCAGTTTGGAATAATAGTCAAAGGCCCTAAGTGAAACTATTAGAACACCAGCCATCTTAAAACCAAGGTGGCTAAAGGCAAGCTAAAGTAGGTGTCCTAGCTTCAGCAAATGGAAAGATTGCATCTCAGATTGAAGAATGTTACTTTATGCAGGTTAAAAAAGCCAAGCATACCTGTAAGACAAAAGATGAAAATAATTAGACCTAGGGCTATTTTGATTTTAGAGACATGCCTCATATAAAATGGTTTAAGCATTAAGAGTTAAGTAATGTTAAATAAATTAATACCTTGTTTATGCAATTTTCTATAATAAAGTTCATAGAATAGACTTTTTTCGGTTGTCTGTATAATTTCCCCAAAGAATCCATCACAGAATAATAATGGCCATTCAAAGATCCATATGACTTTCTTCCTAAAGGCATTTGCAGTGCATGGCAATGGGGGGGGGGGGGACAAGTCAAAATCTTGGGGCTGCAGTTCTACATTCAGGAATTATGGAAATGTGACTTCCTTCCTCAAACAAATCTCTCCCTCCCCCTTTAAACTTAAAAGAATGATCCTTGGAAAAAGTCAGAAAAAAGCTAAAATAGCTCATATGCTAAAACAGGCCAGAAAATTGCCGGACAACTATTTAATGCAGAGTCTTTTGGGACATAAAGGGAAGCAAGCTTAAAAAGAACAACCAATTTCCTAAAACCATTAAACTTGACTTTGATCGCCACTGGGTGTAGACAGCTCACAACTCAGTCAAGGAAGTATAATTCAGAAAGGTTCCTGTAAGCATGAGAATAATCCAGAATGTATAGCACCTGATTAAAAGTCTTATTTAAATCTATTTCATTATGAATCATTTATTGGGTATACAGATCCCAAAACCCTTAGCTAGCGTACATGAATAAGCTTGAAATAAATGTAGAGGAGTTTATTGTTGCTAGAATGATGCAGATGACAATCAAGAAAAAAATGTGCCATTTAAATCTAGTAGCTTCAATGTTAGATTTACTGTATTGTTGTTATTTAATAATAACTTTGTAGCACAGATTGAAACTGTAGATTAGAAGGCCATTTCCATAAAAGACTGCTAGGGAAATAAAATATTGTATTTTCTGAAGCTTTTTTTTTTTTTTTTTTTTTTGCCAGAAAAAGCTTTAATTGAAGAAATTGCTGCTTCCTTTAAATTTGACTTAAATCTTCACATGATTACTGAACATTTTATGCAACTTACAATTATAGGAGTTTGACAATAATGACATTGGATTAAAATTGTACAAATCACATCCATCAGAGAAAACGGTGAGATTTGGTGACTGTTATGCACATGCATGCCTCCAGTGTTAGTGGGAACAATGTATGACACTGTCCAAAGCTTGAAGAAGACGTGGCTGCTTCAGCAATTCAAGCAGAAACTTTTTGTCATGCTACTTGGAAGTCCAAAATAAAGGATTTGCACACCACAAATATCCATACAGTAACAGCTTAAGAAGCTAAAAATTAGTTGATTATTCAGTACATATTCAGTGCTTACCTTATCATAAAGTAAGGTGTGCAGCCCCTTCCATTAGATCAGGGGTGTCACACTCGCATCGTCACAGCATTGTCACGTGATATATCACAACTTTTTTCTTTGATAAACCAGGCATGGGCGTGGTCAGTGTGTGACACATCCGGCCCATCGGCCGCAAGTTTGACATCTGTGCTTTAGATGAAAATATGAAGTTTTTCACCAAATTACTTAGTGAATCCACCCAATATTGGTTACTGTAACTGAAATAGTTCTCCAAAAGAGAAATTGTGCTACCTAAGATAGGAGCTTTGTTGGAAACCTGCACATTTTAGGTGGAAGCATGTGTTTTAACATTGAACAAATTATACATCCTTTTTAAACAATGCTTTTGTGAATAACTACCTGGTGGCTACTTCCACATATTTCCCTCAAGAGAAAAGAAGAAGAAGAAAATCAGGAAATGCATAACTCAAAAAAGTCAATAAATATTTGTACAAAATATATCCTCAAAATGTATTAGGCTGCTGTACTAATGCATGTTTGCTGCCTTGAATTATTTCTAAATATAATGAAGCCAGGATATAAATAAATAAATGGTTATGGTTGTGCTATGGCTCTGTCCTATGACTTTGTCTTTTTAATTAAGCTTGGACTGGTGAGCCTTTCAAATGAAGGACCTGTTTTTGGTTAATTAACATTGCATTCTTAAAAACAAGGGTTTTTAACCCTTGATTTTAACATGAAAAATGTTTTTTTCAAGAAAAAGTAAACTTAGCTTCAGCAAATGGTTAAAGATACAATAGCTGTATTTTGCAATAGAAAAGGAATAGTGAAATGTTTGATATTTTGGGGGGAGGGGGCTTTAAAAAAGATACAGATGATGACCTCTAAATGACTTTCATGGGTGCCCAGACAATCTCAGTAAACTATTATGATAGGTCAACATTTTAGTGGAGTTCTTTTTATGTATAGTTCATATTTTACAATATTTTCATAATTGTTTAAGTAAAAGAGCAATTTTGGAATGATTCAAATGTCTTGTAACCATTATCATTTGAAAAATGCTTCCCTAAAATAGAGCACTTTTATGTTCCATATTTATATTTTAGCACTGTAATATTCCACTTACAATTTCTACATCCTAACTTGAATGAATTAATGAATTAATGAATGATATATACACATACACACAATCATTCACATGTGCACCCCTAGCCATTACCTCTTCATATCTTACCGTAATGATAACCATTGAACATTTGTGTCTCAAAGAGCATGTGTGTATTCTTGCTGTCTGTTGGCTACTGAGAATGATGAAGGATTCTACTCTTCCTTTAATAAGGTTTGTTTATTGCAAATAAACAAAAATTGGACAGTTCCCAGGACAGGTTCAAGACAACAGTCTCCTTGTTAGTGAGGAAGACAAAATTACCTCACTTAGCTTTATGTACTTTTATCCATTTTACATAGTGTGCTTCAATTTGTTGCATGCTACATGCAGATGCTCATTGACTGTATGGTAGAATTGGGGAAATCCTTTCTACTGCTTCAGTCCCTATTCTGATCTCTTATATCAGTGATGACTAACCTTTTTGTTGTTGTATGCTAAAAATGCAAGCACTTGCAGGTGATAGCCCACATGCATGCTTTCATCCGTCCCAGGCTCCAGGAAAACTTCCGGAGCCTGGGGAAGGCAAAAATGGCCTCCCCCAGCCTACTGGGGAGCCGGAAATGGATTGTTCCCAAATTTCCCTGTTTTTCCCACACAGGTTCACCATCATGGTCATTAGGAGCTACTGTTACAAGGAGTGTTGTAATAGAGCAATGTTTATAGCATTTACCTTGGATCTTTTTTTAAAAAAAAATGATGTTTGAAACCCAGATTCCTACAAACCAATCCCAGTAACCAGAATAAAACTTTCATATATCAGGTGACTGAAAAACAGTTAAATAATGCACTGCCAGACTTACTAAAATGAAAACAACAAAACATAGGGATAATAGGAAGCTCAGGGAAATAAAATTAATAATAAAAATGTCTGATAGGCCTTCAAACCACTTCAATTTACATATAAGTGTCATAACCATTATGTTATTCATTTTAAAAGCAACTCCAAACAATATCTGAAATCCCATGGACATTAAGAAATGATTTTTTTAATGCTGCTCTTTTGCCAAGATATGTCCATCTTAGTTCTTTTTCATTCTATTTATAGTGGAATTGTTTACTTTTTTACCATAACATTTTTTTAAAAAAAATCTCAGAAAAGGTGCTCAACTAATTACTATTATAGCAGCACCCTGATCACTGATCACATGCTGTCTTTCTCTCAAACCTTTATTGCTCACATTTTATATCCCAGAGAAACAATGACTTCTTAAAGTTCATCCAGGTGGCAGAAAGCTATATTCCCACCTCATTGCTCTAAAACAATGGTGTTTTTAAAGTTGTAGCTGTATTTTTCCAGCAACATTACAGTTTCAAGCAGAAAACCCCTCCACCATATCATTGTTTCACTTCAGAGGGATTTTTTTTTCACAGCCTATTGTAAAATGATAAAGTAATGTGTAAGATTGATATATTGAAGATCAAATTGCTTTCGCTGGGCCACATACAAGGGGATAAATAGTACAAGAATTAATAAACTCCAGCAAGCTAAGCTGCCACCCTTGATTCATGAGTCATTTATCTTAGAACATGTGATTCAACAAAAACAGTCTGTGCCATTATGCTTTGTGATTTTTGAAGTTAAACCGTTTATAATTTTTATAAGGAAACACAGTCACAGTTCCTTAACCCCAGAACATATCTACCTAAAGATTTTTGGCTTTCGTTACAGAAACTGGGTGCCAAAGATGTCATTTCTAATTTGGCTATGCATCAAATATGAGCTAGTTAAAATAAAAAGACACTAACTCAGTGGTTGAGCACATGCTTTGTGTGCAGAAGAAATCTGGTGCAACCCTTGGCAGTGCCAGTAAAAAGGATCATTACAAGGTAATCAGAAATACTCTGCTTAAATTTCTAGGAACTGTTCACTATTCCAGCATAAGTCTTAAAAAAATCAATATTATTAATCGTTGCAGTTCAGCTGCAATCCACCTCAAAAGGCATAATTACAATTTGGTCGCATAAATGCAGGAGACTACTAGATGGCAGTAAAGAGATTCATCCAACAGTTCTAACTTGCTGCTGCCACCTAATGGTCATCCCAATCTTTGAACAGTTTTTGCAGACCTATGCAGAAGCAAATGGCAATACCTCAGTAATGGAAGCATGTTGTTTTATCTCAATAAAGCATCTAAATGCATATACAGTACTTCAATTCAGTAAGCAGCTGAAGTAAAGGTTCCCTTCAACCATTTGTCTGTTGCTTGTATTGCTATTATTTTGTAAATAAAAGATCAGAAGTAAAAGATTCAGACTGATAGCCTGCATTGAAAATATCATTCACTTTCAGCTTTATAACAACCAATACCGTTTTCATGTTGCTATTTGGTTAATAAATAATGTTGTGCATCTCATGTTTTGAGATGTGTTTATATTTTAAGAATTGGGTTATTTAATATTATAGTTATAAACTGCTTAGAAGGTTTTACTTTCATTTTTACGGCTTGCCCTTTCTCCTCACTGGTACAGATGCATTTTTCTTCAAACAATCATACAGTTTGTAGCAGGGGTGTAGCAGTCACTACTGCTGGTTCGCTCATAGTGTGGCGTGTGCACAGGCGTTTGGTGTGTGCTGCACGTGCATGCACAGTACAATAAAAAATGTTCTGCACATGCGCAGAAGCCAAAAACAAGATGGCGGTGCCTATGCACTGTTCAAGGGTGTGGCAGGCCTGAATTGCTGTTGGTTCCAGCGACTCAGGCCACCAAACCACTACCAATTCGGCTGAACTAGTCCGAACCGGTAGGAACCCACCACTGGTTTGTAGTGTACATAGATTTGCAAAACAATTGGATAAAGGAATTTTTCTGAACTTTGTTTTATGATTTATCTCATAGTTACGGTACTGTGAAATTATGTGACTGCATCAATGCAGTGCATGTTATCTCAGCTTGTAGAGCTTGGATTCATTGAACGAGTTTACTAAAAATGTAAATATTGTAGAATATATAGCCTCATCATGGTACATAACGTAGCTCCATTTTATGCTGAATAAACTAAATTATTAGTGCATATTAAATATAAAACTATCTTTAGATAGATTTTTTTACTCCAAAAGCATTTTATTGAAATAAATTTGACAAAAATAAAAAAATCCAATTTAAATTAAAAAATCCAATTTAAATTTTAAAAAAGTTAAAATATGTTTTTTTTTTAAATAATCATTGATTGTTATTCACCCTGTGACCATTTAACAACATGTTGATGTAATGGAACTAATATAGCAAATCTATTTTTCACTTGGGAGAGTGAGATTGGAATACTCTGTGTTTCTAAAACTATTCTGATTCCAGAACATAGAGGCCTGGCACTTTTCAACATTTTCCTCTATCATCAGGCAGAAAATGCATTTTGAGGATGTGGCAGAAGGATAGCAAGTCGCAGTTAGAGTTCTCTGATATCAGAAAGAGCAAGACACAAGCATCAGAAGAAAAGTCTGATCAGTTCTATAGCCTTGGTCTTTTACTTTCAACTTCTTGTTTAGCCACTGCCCTATTTTATAAAACTGGCTTAATCAATGAGCTTATATGTCACCTTGATATGAAATTCAGAGTAGTTTGTTTCCTCTGGCAGATATTAGAGGACATTCAGTTTGGCAATAGCATGAAGAATGCCACATTTCTTGGCAAATTCAAAGCAAGTCTGCACAAACAAATTAAAACTTTTTGGCATTAATAGGAGTCCTATACTGGAGAACATTCTCATAGTTTTACAACTCATGTGTCTTCCCTTTCTAACCTACCAGAAAATGTATTTATTAAGACACTTGGCAGTTTATAAAGCCTGGGGTTTTTGTGGGCTTTTGGACAGGAGGACTGATTATTTTGTTTTATCTCTTACCATATTTAGCACTTACTTCCACAAGCTTTGGACGGCATAAGAACACACCCCCTTCATAGTCCCTCTGGCACCTGGCTCCAGGCAATTTCAGGAAAGATTATGGGTTTTTAAAAATTTTCCTGGCTAATATTCATGGATAACAAAGTACGCCAACATCAGCTGTGTTGACATGCAACCAAA